TCTAAAGATGATCTAGGATGATGGGTAAGTGACAATTCAGTAAGTACAGCATTTTTTTTGTGTGTGTGTGTGAAGTGGGGATCAGAACTGAGTAACCTTGGACAAATCACACTCTTTCATCCTTAGCAAAAGGCAACAGCAAAAAAAATAATAGGTTCACCTTAGGGTGGTCATAAGTCGAAAATAACTTGAAGGTAAAATACTAGTATACTCTTTGGATGAATGAGCTCTACTTATCAACAGCACCTTAGACTGATTTTCAAGGACCCTCCACTTACCCACACACCACAGCTCACTCCATCCAACAGGGTGCCCCTAATTCTGTGTGCTGACTATTTTCAGGGGACCAGAAGAGCTGCTGCTGGGAAGTACAGATGGGAAAGTCAATTTCCATCAGTCTAGCTGTACACCCTTAAAACTGGATCCCTGTCATTGTCTACTGCCAATTGCCATCACATAGGCAAGCTCTAAAACACTGGCAAGAACAACTGATATCCAGCTTGCATGTTAATTACAGGAACTCATTTGCAGGTCTGACACTAAACCACAGTATAGCTCTATACATGGGAAGCCATACTGAAGGTTTAGCCAACACAGAATTTGTTCACCCACTTCTCACTAGAAGAACTGGGTGAGGGAAGGTGGAGGATGGGTACATATGTATTACAGTATTTTCACAAAATCTGAACCAAATACAGGCTCTCTTATCCAGAATTCCAAAATCCAAAATACTCCAAAATCCAAAATTGTTCACATAGGTCTGAAGCACTATACACACTAAAGTTATTAGAAGAACCACAGTTCAGTGGATCGCCACCTGGTCTGCATGGGGAAGGTCCCAGTTTTAATCCCTGGCATCTTCTAGCCAGTAAGGCTGGGAAAGAAGTCTGTATGAAACTCCAGAACAGCTGCTGTCAGTGAGCACAGATAACAGCGCCCCAGATGAACCAATGGTCTGATATGGGGTAACGCAAATTCCTATGTTTGTACTTTTGACGACAACCAATGCAGCTGGCAGAAAATAATTTCCACAGTCTAAAAAGTGAATGATGGGGCTGTGCTGTGCACTGCAGATAAGAATGCCATTAACACTTAAGTTAATACACACTGTCAACAAGGAAACAGGATTCAGCAAAATAGCAGCTGTCTGTCAACAGCCTAGCAGTTATGGGTGTATATATATATGTGTGTGTGTGTATTCTTATAGAGAGCAAACATACACTGCAAAAAAATAAAAGGCCTCTGGATAAAGCAGCATTCATGTGGAATACTAGCTAGAAGACACAGATGAACAATGCAAATCTCCCCAATGGCTTTACAAATTAGTGAGCAATTTCATTTTTAAAAAAAATAGCAGGAAAAGCTCTCAGATGAAGAAAGTCAGGTGGGAATTTGCTGATCTAAAAAGTAAATTTAATTTATAACGTACACTACAGAAGACAGAAGAAGTCAGCAACTAACAAAGGTTTGGCTCCACCATTCTCAAACATTGACAGTAAACACTGCCTGCTTAGACCATCAGACTTTCATCACACCAGAGACAGGGAGAAATCTCAGGTCAGGCATGAACTGGGAAATGTGGCATTATCCAGCTAGTGCACAACCTCGGGAGTTCATTCATCAGCAATGAACACCACACCGACACCATCCATAGCTACTCACAGCTGGCTGGGAAAGTGCTTTCCATTTCCTTCACCCCACCTCTTGCCCCCTGATTTCCTAACACTGAAAGCTCTTTGCAATGATAGCTGGCTATGAGGAATAATGCTGGGATGTTGTTTTGATGGGCAAGTCTTTTGGTCTCCATGTTCTTTCATGAATGCAAAAGAGGCCACTCTGCTGTGATCCCCTGTAACACATAGGTGTTCCCCAACATACTTACAACATTCTTTTAACATCCAGATTCAACATGCCTATAGTATTCTCTCAATGAAAAAACTGAATGGAAATAATGACATTTAAAAAAACAACTACCCAAATTCTGTCTCAACAGGATCTAAATCTTACTACAGGCTTCAAAAGCTATATGGCCCTGAAAAGGATGTCTCAAAAGCAAAGATTTTGAACTTCTGTTTTTCCTGAACCTGCAGCCAGCCAATAGTTCAGCCTCTCTTACTGTCCAGCTCTAATCTCCAAACAAACAGCACCATCAATTAATCTCATAATGACAGGGGGCAAAGCTCTGTGAGCATCAATAAGGCACTTCAAAAAATAAGTCATAACAATGATGAGAATCGCCATGTTGGATCAGATCAATGGTACATGCAGCTCACATATATTAGACCACAGAAGCCATGCTGATGCCTCTAAGAGACGTTAGTAATGAAGAAACAATGCTGATATTGGTGCCCTTATTGGCTATCCCCTAGCATGTGCTACTCAGACATATACTGCCTTCAGAGACCAGTGCAAGTGTCAACGGGGAGAGGGCATACTCAGTGGTAAGGCATTATGCTTTGCATGCAGAAGGCCCTAGGTTCAGTCCCTGGACATCTCCAGCTATACAGCATCATACAGGAAAGACCATCCAACAAAAACTGCCACTCTCAGCTGGCAGAAAGAATACCATACTAGAGGTACAAATGCTCTGACCTTTATGGCCTAGTTAGGAAGGAGTCCACTTATCAAGGGCCGAGAAATCAGTAGCACCCTGTGGAACTGCATGCTTTTGGTATTTTCCCAAAGCAAATCCTCATTTTAACTGTGACGATTAAGCAGCAACATATCCAGACTAACCAAACCTACTACTATTTTACCAAGAATGAAACCAGCTTCAGATACCAAAGATGATAGCAAAGCAATTCTCTTTTACACTGGTTTGTTATCCTTTTCACCTATCTTTTCAACAACAAAAAAGGGGTTCAGATGCTGATAACAAGCATATTTTCATGCAAAGGCAGATTACAATGCAAATTACCCATTACTGTTTTTATTCTGTGCATTTAAGTGTGCTGGAGGAGGGGAAATTGCCAGCCTTCCAGAAGGATGAACTTGCTTTTTGGAAGACATACAGCTGAAAGACTATGAATTAATTTTAACAGTTTCCTCTGCCTGTGTTTTTCTGTTTCCTTTTTGTAGTCCAACTGACAACCTTAATCAGATGTTTCAAAAGAAGGAAGTTCGAAGGAAATGCAGGAAGGAGGGGAAACTACTCCACTCCCAGAAGAGAGACAGAGAAACAGAGACAGACAGACACTGATTGACTTGGTTTCCTGCATCTCTTCTTGTTAAAGAATGGTCCCCCAGTCAATTGCTATCTGAAGAAAATGTTGTGATGGCAAAAAAGCATCCTTAGATTTGAGAAGCAAAGGGGTTAAAATGCAAATAATCTGTTTCTTCTTGTAAGAGACCAACCCGCAGGAAATATTCATCCAGTGCCTTATTTTATTCATAGCTCGGTGGAGATGTCTGCTCAGTATATAGTTACAGCCTGGGAAACAGAAAATACATGGAGGCAGAGGTGGGGGGGGGGGGGGGGTTGGAGGTGGAGATGAGATATTTCCAGTGCTACCTATGACCACAAACTGTGCCACCACACACACACACACACACATCTTCTTCTCAATTTGAACAAGACTTTTCTAAAGGAAGTTAATATAGCCACATCAGTGATACTAAACCTTTACCCTTAGGACCACCACCCCTTTACATCTACATGCAGATGTTGCATTTCCCTTGCCTTGTTTTAGTATATGAATAAAAATATTTTGCTTATTTAGTATGCATATTTTCATTTGCAAAATTGGTATATATTAATATTTTAACATTTGATAAGGAAATAACATCATTCAGATTAGAACAGTTTTATTTAAGTAAATGTAATATTTAATTCAATGCATGTGTAAATTTTATACATAAAAAAGTTTGGTAAGAGGAGGAGGAGGAGGGATCAGGGCCTCCATGTCTCACACTCCCCTTTGAGCAATTCTCATCCCCCCCTGGAGATCCCACCCCACCATTTAAGAACCACTGAGCTAGGTGATTATACTTAGCCCAGGGGCAGGCAACCTTTCCCCTTTAAGGGCCAAGGGACTTCAGCTCCCAGAATCCCAGAAGCTATTGGCCAACATGGGACTATTGGCCAACATGGCTGAGGCTTCTGGGAGCTGAAGTCCCTCGGCCCTTAAAGGGGAAAGGTTGCCTACCCCTGATAGCCCTAAACAGAATGATGGCTGTTTATGCGAGGCAAAAAGTTTCAGAGCTAAACAGGACGAAGACCTCCAACTCAAATCATCACATTGATGCACCCCAAAAGGTGACCCATAGGCCACCTCATTATCAATTGTAGAACTGGGAGCAAGGGAATGGCCTTCTTTTCCCAGTTCTACAAAAGAAGCTGATTTTCATGGACACTGAATTCATTCTCAGAAGGGAAGGGGTTAAAGTAAGGTAAAAGGAAGGGCCTATTCCAACAACTCACTTCCCATTGAGAAAGTATAACAAGATGAAGAGTAGCTACAACTCTTTTCCAGTCATAGCCAATCAAATCCTCGTGAATCTCTGAATGGGCAGGCATAATGTTGTATCCTGATTTCACAGAAAGGTTAACTTAAAAATCATTAATTTCAGCTCAGAAATTGCCCCTCCACCCTCCAGAGATCATTATGGAACAAATATTTAATTTTTTTACTCATCTGCATGACTGGGGGTCACAAAAATGGCCCTGAGGGGGCTTTATGCAGCCTATGGGCTGCACTTTGCCCACTCCTGATCAAAAAATTGATTTCAGAGCAGGAAATGCAAAATTACTTTTAAAAAAATAGAACAGCAAAATAAAACTGAAAGGAAATGAATTATATTACCAGTTGAAAATCATAATAATTTAAAATGTTGCTGGTTATTGTTGTTACGTACCTTCAAGTAATTGCCAATTTATAGCAACCCTAAGGCCAACCAATCATGGGATTCTCTTGACAAGATTTGTTCAGAGGAGGTTTGTCATTGCCTTCCTCTGAGGTTGAGAGAATGTGACTTACCCAAGGTCACCCAGTGGGTTTCATGGTCAAGCTGGGAATTGAACCTTGCCTTCAGAGTCATAGTCCAACACTCAAACCATTATGCCACACTGGCTCACAATACTTGACTGAATAAAAAGGTTTTAACCTAGCATCCAAAGGAAGACATGTCCAAAGACAAACAGCACAGAGGCAATCATGGGGAGCTTCACCCATCATGCACCCTGTCTAAAAGGGGAAGAAATGGAATAGGAAAACCTCCTAGACCCAAGAGCAGGGGTTGTCAACCTACAGCCCGTGGGCTGGGTGCCCTAATAATGTCCAAAATGGGGGGCGTTCCCAAGGCCCAGGGAAGGCCCCCCCGCCCATGCGCCGGGCGAATTCGCATGGAGCACGTGCAATGTGTGTGTGTGTGTG